TTTTTCAATGACTACGACTCTGCTAGTGTTGGAGACAGATTTCAATGGTTTTGAAAACAGAAGAGGAGCTTTGATGGACGATGGTAGCAACAAGCTATTCATCAGGTGCTGAACACAGAATAGTGAGCTCCGCCCAGGTGTTTCCAGGTACACGTCACATTACCGTGACTCAACAACAACGCTGGGCGAGAGACTCAAACGGTTCCTGAACGATGAGAATAAAAAACTTTACAGGTGGCCTGTGTGATGGATGCTCAGGGTTTCTTTAATGGTAACCATTAAAGAAACCATTAAAGTTATTGGTATAGTTTAGACTTTTGTAATTCATCCATAATTTTTCGCTTCACTTGTTTTGATTCTATTTTCTTGGATTTCTCTGTTTTGGTTTCACCTTTTAAAGGCGACCGCCCTAATAATTAACAGCTTTTGTGCTTCGTACTTTCCTACCTTCCTCCGTTGCCTCTACGGTTTGCTGTTTTCCTGATTTTGTCCATCGGGTCCTCCTTTGGGGTCTTCATTAGCCTTATTTTTAATTTCCTTGCTTGTTAGTCGAACATCTCTCAGGTTCTTTCTCTCTGTTGCGCCTTTGTTTTCTTTGTATTTTTCCGGATCGTTGGTCAGTGGCTTCCTTTTGCCGTTCAGCGGTCATGTGCCGAATTCCACGCTGCATCACTTAGTCCCGTAGTCTTTTCTTCTCGGCGCTCTCTCGGCTCATTACTTTCTCTGTTTGTGTCCACATCAGAATTGGCTTTTCAGCTCTGAGAGGAAGAAACCTCAGCATCTGGCTGACTCACCGTATTGATCAACACCCCCCATCAACTCTCTGCAGATGAATTGCGGCCGTTTCATGCTTTGGGCTCAGTAGAAATCTTATTTATTGCACCTATAAACGCTTTAATAGGCCATACTTCCCACAGCGTGAGATCGACTGACATGAAAGCCTGACTCGTGTTGCATATGCATGAAAATCTCCTCGGTTTCACATTTTACAAAGTTCTGAAAACCAAACAAAGAAAGAACATTTTTAACTTAGCAACAAAAGAATGTGGAGGAAAAAGCTCCATACAGCGCTGCACTCGGACCATATAGTGTATATAGAGGTTGTGGGTGTTTTTCTCTGTTTTGTTTTGGACTATTTCTGATCGACCTGAAGGCTGACTGCATCATCTGCTGCACTGAAAGACTGTGAGGTGGGTGGCAGCGAGGACTGCCAGGCTGACTTTAAAAAGAACATTTTATTCAAATGAGACCTCCTCATTGGAGAGGATACATCCTGAATATAGTCAATTGATTTAGCTGTTCGAGTCTATTTCCTGTGGTATGAATATTTGGTAATAATATGAAACTGTCAGCACATTGTGTTTCATGATACAACACAGCTGAGGCTTCTGCTGCTGTGGCTTTGGCCATTTGGCAGCAATGAAAGGGTAACGTGATTTTAGGGACGAGAACGCCGGTGACGTCTGTCACGAGGGGCAGAAGCTGACGTGTGCTCTTCAACTCTGCAATGAAACATCTACTGACAAAGACCACTGCGCTCACACCACCTTTCTGAACAGCAGAGAAACGTCTCCAGGCTGGAACAGGCCAGAGCTAGTCTGGAGCAACGACTGGATGTCATCCTTCTGTGCCATTAAGCAGTGACAGACAAATAGCTGTGAAAATGGTGACAGGTGTGGATGAAATAAACACAGGTTGATGTTGTTGTTGACTCTGACGTCAGCAGATTTCTTCAAACGTGCTGAAGAAAGAAAAAAACGGCCACAGCTTTGGACTGGGTCTGGCAGAAGCTCCAGTTTCACCCCAGCAAACGAGCAGAAGCATCACAAGCTGCAGAATAACGTGAAGCTAAAAATATCTGTAAGATACCACAGCCTCACACCTTTCTCTCTTGTATTTGTCCGTGCAGTGACAGTGTTAGACGATTATATGTAAAAGAAAGTTTTCATGTGACAGTCGAGGGAAAGACTGAGTCCACCCCTGATTCAACAGCTTGTAGCAGCAATAACATGCAGGGAGGATTTTCTCTGTGGCTTCGTCAGTCTCTCACATCACTGTGGAGGAGTTTTGGTCCACTCTTCTTCATATTCTTTTTCGCCTCATTGAGGTTTGCAGCATTCGTTCATGCACAGCTCTCTGAGCTCTGCAGCAGCTCCGTTCTTCTCTTCTTCAGTCGTTCTGTTGCAGACCTGCTGCTGTGCTGGGATCTTTGTCCTGTTGATGACCCGGTTTGGTCCGAGCTTCAGCTGTGGGACACACGGCCTCACACTGACTCTACAGAGGAGCTCATGGTCCACTCAGATCATCGTCCCTCCTCCAGCGTGCTGACGGCTGTATGAGGTGTTTGTTTCCTCCAGACGTGCTGCTGTGCGTGATGGACGAACATCTCCACTGTGGTCTCCTCTGTTAAGATGCAGTTTTGGAAATATACACCATGCTGGTATGTTCTCTTTAGAGAGAAGACTCTTTCCCCTGAAGCCCTAAACAAGCCATACTTGTTCACTCTTTGCTAACCGAGGTCTGAGCTGCAGCTTTTGGGTTTTTTGGAGTTCTTCTGAGTTTTGCACGGTCTGACCTTGGGGTGAATTCTTTGGAACGTCCAGCGCCGTGAAGACTTGCAGCTGAATGTTTTCAATTTGTGAATAATCTCCCTTAGTATTTGTAGACGGCCTTATAATCCTTCCCAAGATCTTTGCTGACATCTTTCCTCCTTGGCTTGGTCCAAACTAGCAAAAGTGCCATAAGTAGTGGTGCTCACACCAACTGATGATCCTTTAATTAAGTGCATTTGTGCATTTAATAAGCAGCACCTGGCTGCTACTGACCTTTAATATTCTTAATTCCTATAGAAGCAGTAAGCGTGCCATTTACTGAGACTGAAAGTTAATAAATACGCTGAACTCACTGTTTAGTACGTTTTACAGAACCATGCACCAGAACAATCCTAAGGCAGGGTTAGGGTTGATTTCAGCTCCTCTCTATCAGCCCATCCCAGCAGCCATGACATCTGGTCAGACCCCCTTCATAGCAAAGACGTCTAACAGGATGTCAGAGGCAGCAGTTTGTAAGAAGGAGCTGTAGTTTACACCTTCATAGGAAATTCTCTGCAGATGATCATCATGTGAATCTAAATTACATTTAGCCACAGACTTCACACTGAAACAGCGGTCTTTAATGAAAAGTTGGAACAGAACGGGCGTTTGCTGGAAATACTGAAAGAAAACTCATAATCTGCAGAAGAGTGGTGTGGTCAGAAACATAATAGGAGAGAGGCACAGCATATTTAAAACTCAGCCTCTCTTTGTAGGGCAGAACAGCTGCCGGTCGTCTCAGGAACAAAGAGGCTCTGCAGAGCTGCTGCTCTATGTGCTCTGGGTTTGAGCTCAGAGGGGATTTCTGCTCAGCTCCTTGGATAGCTTTGCATCAGTGGGAGAGCAGGGCTTTCTGTCTGGCTCTGAATGTGCTGTCCATAGCAAACGACTACTTCTTTGCTGAAAAATTTATCCCGCTCCAACCAACAGGGGAAAAACTACAAATAGCGTATAGAGAACAGGAGTCAATATCAGACTTTTAACACTCTTCCTGCCCTGGAGAGATGAGCCTGAAACACGGCGTTAATGAAATCTTTATGCGTCTGTCAGGATGAACAAACCAGGTCTGCACAAACATCCTGCTTTGTTAACGTACTTGTCATCTCTGCCGACCACAACAAAACGCTGAAAGATGGCGCCGAAACAAGCCGTCACTCTGGCTTCCCTACGGACCCTGTGACGCTCGGCTCCAGTCAGGAGGAGAGGACCCAGCTCGGATCGGGACAGGGCAGATGAAACCGGGCCCACAGTATGCAGTGCACGTAAAGGAAACATACTGGAGTTATTTATCCGTGGATTCTCCCAAAGCTCCATGTTCCTTCTTTACCGTTTCCCCCAAACAGTACAGTGTGCTGCAGTAATGCCTTGCTCACAGCTTCATTATTTCTCCTTCTGTTTAAGCCATAATAAAGCTTTACACCACATTTATGAACAAAGTGTGAATCTCGACTTTGACAGTGAGATTTTTGCGAGACTTTGGGTCCTCATTAGTCAGGTCTCCATGGCAACGCTGACGCGTGTGTGTGTCTATGAAAAATTTGTTTTCAGGTTCACGTCTGTCCATCAGCCTACTGGGTGAGGAGCTAAAACTCTGCAGAGGGATTTAAAACACACCTAATTTTAAATAAACGATTGTAAAGGAATTAATTCATTATTAATTATATTAAAGAACATTTCAATCACAGGTTTAATCGAAGCCCAGATTTGGATCCCGCTGAAACATTTTAAACTTGTAGTGTATGCAAGAACACACATATGGACACAAGTATGACGCAGCCTGCACACATCACACCTACAGGACCGTCTCTGCACTCAGTGATGTCTCTGACACACTGTGCAACCAGGTAAAGATGGTGGTTGGTGTATAATTCGGTTTTTTGATGTTTGGGACTGACTGCAGGTAGCTTCAGTAATCAGTGCAGAGGTTTGCTGTCAGGAGGCAACCTGACGTAGTCTAATCTGGAGGGATCATTCAAACAGACTGTTGAAGGTTTGCAGTTAATCAACATCCATTTTATAGAGTCAGACAGATTCCAACACGTAATCCACCAACGGTTTGGACCTGTGCAGGATATACTGGACAAAGGATGATGAAGATGGAGCTGCCAGCAAGGAGGAAAAGAGGAAGCCCTCAGAGGAGGTTCATAGATGCAGTGAAGGAGGCCATGCAGAGGGTTGGAGTGATTGTGGTGAAATAGAAGTTAAGGAAGAAGAAGTCTCTATCAGGCCATCACAGCAGCTGCAGCATCATCTGCAAAGTCATGTGTTTTTATACTGATGAAGATTAAGAGACGTAACCCAATACTGTTTCCTTACTGTGTATCGCAGACTGACTGAAAACTCCTGAACATAGAAGTTGTTTCTACCAAAGGAGGGCATCAGTGTCACTGCAGTGGGATGAGTGCTTACCGGTCCAAAGCTGTTGCTGTCCAGACTGTGGCCGTGATGATCTCCCTCGATCCAGAAGTGACCATCTGGAACTCGAACATAGCGGTTCTTGTAGGCCAGAGTCCTGAAAAGATGGAAAATGAGAGAAACTTCTAAGAAAGCAAGAACTTTGTTTTCAGTCAGACGTTCATTATAAATTCATTCAATTTAATCGAGAAGACATTGTCGAGATGACCTGCTGAAGTTAGGGCTAGGGCATCACAGTGGGAAAGAAAGCTGATGGAGGGAACTCTGAACTTGGCATGGTTGTTGGTGCCAGACAGATTGGTCTGACTGTTTCAGAAACTGCTGATCTGCTGGGATTTTCCCACAAACCCATCTTTAGTGTTTACAGAGGTCGGACTGAAAAAAAAAAAATCCAGTGAGCCACAGTAATCCAGTAACGTGCCTTACTAATGTCAGGGGTCAGAGGAGAGTGCCCAGATTGGTTCAAGCTGACAGAAAGGCAGCGGTAGGTCGAATAACAACCAAAGCCTGCAGAAGAGCATCTGTGAGTGCACAACATGTTGAACTTTGAGGCAGAAGTCCACACTGGGTGTCGCTGCTGCCAGCCTAAAGCTGCATTTCAGAGTCTCACCAGAACTGCAAAATAGAAAAGCATTGAAACATCTTTTGAGTCTCGATTTCTGCGGCGACATTCGGACGGTAGGATCAGAGTATGACGTGAACAACATGAGAGCATGGCTCCATCCCGCCTGTATCAGCAGTTCAGGCTGGCTGTGGACTGACTGCAGGAGAGTTTTTCCTGGGTCCCAACTGAGCATAATTTAAACTCCGCAGCCGACCTGAGTAATGTTTATATGTCCATCTCTTTGTGACCACAGTGAACCATGATGGCTCCACTCATGCTGAGAGGACCACAATTAAACTCCTCAATTCAAACACAGAAATACAACAAAATCAAATGTCGCCATTTATATTCAGACTTCAGGCAGCATTACATTTAATGCAACACCAGCATTGGAAAATTATTACTGTTAAACTGCAGCGATGACAGCAACTACACCCATTTTTACTGATGCATGAAATAAATCAGGTTCCAAGTATTGATGGCAGTGATAATAAAAGAAAGAAATGTTCACCAGAATTATGATGGTTTTGTAATTTCCACTGTTTGTTTTCAGTTCAGTTTAGGGTCAGTTAGTTATTTCAGTTATATATTTATATTTTATCACACCCAGCTTTATTCTTTGATGTAACTTCGGATATCTATGACGACCCGACTCAAAAACAGAACTGACTAGGACTAGGAAGGACTAGGAACAAAGCTAGCAGGCTAACTGTAGCCTGCATGATGTTATTTTTTTCAGTCACAATACAGTAAAAATATAATGACAACTACTCACAAGGCAACTATACAGGCTGCCTGGATGGAGGCAAGCTGTCCAACTTGGACTGACTGCAGTCACTCACACTTTCACACTTAAAGTTCATTTACTCTGAATCAGATGATGAGGTTGTAAACTTCAGCCTTTTCCTGTAGTTTTTTCCCAAAACTGACAAAAACAACAAGTGAACCAAGCAAGTCTCTTTAAACCAAATGAGAATGTTTAGTCCACTTATCCGCTCTTTAAGTCTGACGTCATTAGCCGTTTCTGGGTCCAAAGTCAAACGAACACTGCACCATCGCTGAGAGTTACATAATAAATAAAATGATCAGCGTTGCTGCTTTACCAGGTGTAACAATGAAGTTTAACATCCAGGCATCCATGAAAACAGGATTTATGAAGTTTAACAGAGTTAGAAGTTAGCGGAAGTTAGCTCGCTAGCTTCCACATAAACATGATGTAGCATGTTCTGAGTGAGAGGTTTCTGAATAAATTAAAACGTACAGCTCTGCTATCACTTCCAACATAAATGAAGACAGAAAACTAAACAGCAGTGACGTTTGTAGGGTTACTGAAGTTTGGCTAGCTGCTATATAATGATGTGGTAAATGGACTGATTCTACTCTCCCAGAGTACTCAAAGTGCTGTATACACTCATTCACACTCATACAAGCACTTCTATATTCAAGTGCAATCTAACCAACATTCACACAACTTGGGGTTAGAAACTTGCCCAAGGATAATTTGGCATGCAGACTGGGGAAGCCAAGGATCGAACAACCAACCTTCCAATCAGTAGCTGATCTGCTACGTGATCGCTAGCGACACAGCTATGTTAGCATAAACACACTGAAGCCTGCAGGATGAACACCAACTTTTTTCCACTGGATAAAAGTTAACGTGAGGGTTCCTGATGGTTAGAGACAAATGCAATTGCATGGCAGGATGCTGTAAATGGACCAAACTTCAGTCAGGAGAACAACTGAGATAATCCATCCACAATATGAGGTTAGTCATTCATATACTGCTACATGGGCTGGAGTTACATCATAAGGGTTTAAAAACTGAGCTTTAAAATGAAGAGCGATGATAAAAACTGAGAGAAGCCGACAGTGATCACTGACTGTTTTGAGGGGCTTGTTCAGATTAAATAGAAAAAGATACAAAACATTAAAACATGTTAAAAACACAACAGCCTTAATAAACGCAGGGTAGTTTGGGCTGGAAGCAGGATTCATACGTCATCACTTAAAGACCGGAGTGGCCAGATTGCATTAATTCTACTGCTAGCTGCTATTCCACACTTACCGTTTGTGTACTCTGCACATATATGGTACCTGTTGTATCTCAGATTGCAAAACACAGGAGGGCGCTTAGCTCAAATTGCAGCATACACCTGGTAGCTGTGTTGGATTGAGGTTGGATCACATTCACAACATAAACAAACTGCTCTGGAGTTCATTTGAAACTTGATCGAGATGTGTTTTTGGTTCACACCAGAACAACTGTAAACTGATAATTGCTGTGTCTTATCATCATTTCATTGCCTTAGTGATGCACTAAAGTCACTCTGACGACTGCAGCTGACTGCGAGTTGTCTGAGACCTGGTCCTCATCTTCAAAGGTAACATGGATGCAAGTTGTTTGCACACGGTTGGAATCATTTTGATTGTGTTACGGTCTCTAACTGTAGCATTAGCTAATGTTAGTGGTGTTGCTGGTATATCTCCAAAAGTTGATTCTGTTCATCTGGACGTAGCGTTTTGTGGGAGAAACGTTTCGTCATCATCAGGTGACGTCTTCAGGCTCAGCTGACTGCAGGTTTCAATCTTATAAACAGGACATTTGCATAATGAGTGAAACCAGCCCACTGAAGGAGCAATGGGCTGGGAGGTCAGTTCCTTAATCTTAATTATGCAAATTCTCATGACCATTGATCAACAACCACTGATCAATGGCCATGAGTCCCATTCACAGAGAGTTGGGGAATGGCTACAGTCACAAGTGCATTTTCTGCTTTTAGCATGTTTCAGACTTTTTGTATTGTGCTTTTAATCTTAACAGTTTCTGGAAACCAAACAGGAGCTCACAAAATGATCTCCAGCGGTAAACTGATCAAAGTGTTCATGTGGGAAGACAAAAAAAAGAAAATGAAAATCAGGAGAGAATAGCCGTTAACGTTTTCATTGACGGTGGATCAAATTATCGCCTTCATTTCATTATCCTTAATCATCAGCCTCCAAATCATCTCCTGCAGCGTCACTTCCCTCCGTCACCTTATCGCTCAAACAAAGATCTGATCAGAGGATTCAGCCTAACAGAGGTGGTGGAGGGGGGCGGTGCTCATCTCGTCCTGCAGCCGCTTCAGTTAGCTCGTCGCGTTTATGAGGAGAAGGTCCGACGCCCTTCATCATCCCTCTGGACTGTTACGAGGCTGTTCCAGCCCTGATTTATCATCCAGCTTGGGAACATTGTGAATTATAGCCTCAGTGACTTTTTAAATGGAAATTTGTCTGCAATTCCTCACGCATGTGTGTGTGTGTGTGTGTGTGTG